ATTTTCTGCAAATGGATAATCTTTTGCACCTCTGTGTCACAAATAGAGGCACGTGGATCAAGATGAGACAATGATGTATTTTTCCACAAAATGTTACGTTTGGTTTCATTAATTTCTCCCCCTAATTTTGGGGAAAATGCTTCATCAAATCGACAATCTGCAAAACTAGCAGTGAACAAATCTCCCGTTAATGTTTCAAGGTAAAGAATAATTGAGGGCGATTCAAACCCAACATATATTCCTAACCTTCTTTGGGGATCCATCTTGGTGCAATATGGGGGTGCTACATGCACATATACAACGCATCCAAAAATTCTTAGATGAGATATATTAGGTTCATGACCCAAAACTAATTGCAACGGGGAATATTTGTGATAATTTATCGGTCTAAGACGAATTAGAATTGCTGCATGCAAAATGGCGTGACCCCAAACAGAAGTGGGCAACTTCGTTTTCATGAGTAACGGTTTTGCTATCAATTGTGGACGTTTAATTAAAGACTCTACAAGGCCATTTTGAGTGTGAACATGAGCTACAGGATGTTCCACTTTTATCCCAATTGATAAGCAATAATCATTAAATGATTGGGATAAAAACTCAGCAGCATTTTCAAGTCTAATAGACTTAATTGGATTATCGGGAAATTGTGCCCGTAATCGGAATATTTGTGCCATTAATTTTGCAAACGCGAGGTTGCGAGATGACAATAGGCATACATGAGACCATCTAGAATATGCATCTATTAAGACCATAAAATATCTAAACGACCCACTAGGTGGGTGAATAGGTCCACAAATGTCCCCTTGTATACGTTCTAAAAACGCAGGGGACTCAATCCCAACCTTTGTTGGTGATGGTCTTATAATTAACTTGCCTTGATAACAAGAAGTGCAAGAAAATTCATTATTTAAAAGAATTTTCAAATTCTTTAATGGATGCCCATTTGAGTTTTCTATGATTCGTCTCATCATAATTGATCCAGGATGGCCCAATCGATCATGCCAAAGTACAAAAGTATTGGAAGCAATAACCTTTTGGTTTGAGGTAGAATGTGCCTCAATTGCACTAATTTTTGTCCAACACAGGCCACAAGATAAAGATGGGAACTTCTCAATAATTCTTATCTGGCCAGAGACATTCTTGGTAACGATGAAATATTCCATATTATTCTCATCTATTGTCTCAATATGAAATCCATTTCTGCGGATATCTTTAAAACTCAACAAGTTCCTCTTGGACTTGGAGGAGAACATTGCATTCTCTATGATAATTATTGTTCCCATATGCAGAGTTATAGTAGCTCTTCTAGAGCCTTCAATTAGATTACTACTACCAGAAATTGTAGTAATATCTTCCTTACACATACTTAAATGAGAGAAATATTTCTTCTCTTTGAATATTGTATGTGTCGTACATGAATCAATTAAGCAAATATTTTTACAATTGAACTTTGATCCAAGTTTGCTTTGAAAGATATCCATATTTGCTTCCCGTAGTTTGACATACAAAAGAAGTATATGAATAAATATTAGTATTTTTAGAGAAAAATGGAAAAGAAATAAAGTTAAACCAATAATTCAATATCAGCCTTTAATACATTTTTTTTTGCAAATTCTAATTATTATACAAATAATTACACAAAAAATAATACAAGTACACATATGACTAATACAACTACAACAAATTTATTTACATGTATAAATTATTTGCATTTTCCTACACATTGTATGAAAAATAATTGATCCGTGTAAGAAAAGAACATACTCATAAAAAAAATTAAAAGTTGTTCCAGGGTGCTTGTAAACCTTTTCTTAAAGAGAATTAAAGTAACGTAAAGGAAAGTTAAAATTGTTAAAAGATCAGTGAGACTAGAATACTAATTAATAGGATATTACTCTTTGTTTGTAAAATTTATAAAATTTCGGAAATAAAAATATTCTCAAGAACTACATAAGAAGAATTATAAAGTGCAATAAAAATTACGAGATGTTTATTCATTACATACTGCGAGTAGGAAAGCATAAAAATTAAATTGCTCAATCATCTCTAACCACATATCCATCACCGATCAAGTGGTTTATTTTTTCATTAGGGTGCTCAAAACAATCTGCCACATCCAAGTGGGTGATGTCAAATTCATTGTCATAGACAAGATTGGCTTTAGGGCCTTTATTCTTCAGAGATGCTTGATAAAGTTCAATCAAATGTTTTGGTACGCGATAAATTTTTGCCCAATGCCCTTTTCCACCGCAATGATAGCATTTAGTTTCTGAACCCTCTGTGTTTCGCTTCTCATCTTTCCCTTTCCATTTTTGGAAGTTATTTTTCGGTGGAGGATGATTAACACCATGAAATTTTCTTCCTTGGATATGGCCACGACCACGAATATGACTACAACCTTTTCCATGATTAGCATAATGGGAATATATCTCATCCTCTTTAGGCAATGGTATAGACCTAGTGGGTCGATTTTCGTGATTTCTCATAAGCAATTCATTGTTTCGTTCAGCCACAAGTAGAAGAGAAATCAACTAAGAGTACTTTGTAAAGCCTTTCTCTCGGTACTGCTGTTGCAAGACCATATTGGAGGCATGAAACGTTTTAAACGTTTTTTCAAGCATATCATAGTCACTGATATTATCTCCACAGAGTTTCAATTTAGAAGTAATTCTAAACATAGCAGAATTATATTCAGAAACAGACTTAAAGTCTTGGAGCCTAAGATGAGCCCAATCATATCGTGCTTGTGGAAGAGTGACCAACTTTAAGTTGTCATATCTTTCCTTTAAACCATTCCACAAAACAAATGGATCTTTCACTGTGAGATATTCAATTTTCAACCCTTCATCAAGGTGATGNAAGCATATCATAGTCACTGATATTATCTCCACAGAGTTTCAATTTGGAAGTAATTCTAAACATAGCAGAATTATATTCAGAAACAGACTTAAAGTCTTGGAGCCTAAGATGAGCCCAATCATATCGTGCTTGTGGAAGAGTGACCAACTTTAAGTTGTCATATCTTTCCTTTAAACTATTCCACAAAACAAGTGGATCTTTCACTGTGAGATATTCAATTTTTAACCCTTCATCAAGATGGTGGCGCAAGAAAATCAAGGCCTTAGCACAGTCTTGGGTAGATGCTTTATCTTTATCTTTAATGGCGTCTCCAAGACCCATTGCATCTAAATGGATTTCAGCATCCAATACCCATGTCATATAGTTCTTGCCCGAAATTTCAAGGTCAACGAACTTTCTTTTCATAATATCAAACATAATTTAAAAAATACAAATTTGAGAAAAAATATACCTTAATTTTCTCAAAGATCTTCTTGAGATGGTAGAGCCTCGTGCTGATAGCGTGTTATAAAATATAACCCACAATAACAATATAGAACAAGCAAAAACAAACTAAGAGATATAGAGAGAAAGAGAGGAAGAGAGATTCTTATTTCTTCTTCAATTGTGTGTATTTTTCTATCTATTACAAGGCCTTTATATAGACATAAAAAGTGAAGAAAATATGTCACGGAATATGTCATTGAACATACAAAATATGCCATTGAATATGTCATTAAGCATTTGAGATGAAGATCATGGAAGAAGAGTAGACATCCATCATAATGTGATATTTATCATAACAATTAAAGATAAGAAATAATTTTCTATTACACCCGTTACCCTTCTTCTCATGAACAATTTGTCTTTGAACCATATGAATTATGAAGAATTAGCTTGACTCATAACAGCTTGTTGGGAGGATGTATTGTATCGTATTGTTACTTTAGATACAATATTTGTTTTTATTGTTATTTAAAGTTTATTAAATCGTATCATCAAAATCCGTCGTTACATAACTTCGAAAAGTGTTACTTTATGGAACAAAGATTTGGTGTGGTGTGGTGTTACCTTGCTTTTTTCTCTCATTTTGCCCTTCCTTATTATTAAATAACCATATTTTATTATTTATCCTACTTTTTAATACAATAATTCTACTCTATATCCTATTTTTTCTTAATAATGTTGCAAGTTTATTCTTAATATTATCGGTGCGTGACATCATAAAACGACGACAAACGATGCAATCAATCCAAATGTTATATTCATTACATAATACCGTATAATACGATACCTTCTAAAATAACATGTAACAACCATCCCTTTATCGATTAAAAACTAGCTTTATTTTCTCTTTTCCACAAAAAGAGAAGATCGCCAAGAAAAGTTGAAATGCCCAGTTACATCGACTAGCATTAAATTTAGCTTTGTTACAAAGTCTGGAGTCGTGAAGAAAACGCAGCAACTGTGGACCAATGGCAGGGTTGCATATGGCGTACCACGTGATAAACGCTTTAGGTGTAATAAAGACGATATGGTCGCAACAACTCGGTCCTAATTATTTGAGCTCTTATTGTCAATTTTCTTTTTAAATTGTGATTTTCCAACCAACTTGCCCGTGCCAAACGGGGACATTAAAAAAATTGCCTAATACTTTTGGCCTTTGCAGTTTAAGTAGGCGTTTGGACATGAATTCCAAAAAAAAAAAAAACATTAGAATTTCACTAAAATTTGAATTGAAGATGAAGTTATGTTTGGTTATAATTTTTACAAAATATTAGATGTCTTTTTTTTCAAAATCATAAAACATGATTTATACCCCACAATTTGTAAAAAAAATCAAAACTACCCCAATTTAATTATCTTACTTGAAATAAACAATCAAACATGTTATTGTTTAACTGTTATCATACTCTGCTTTATTGCAATACACAAAAGATGCAAAATCAATATCGCATTTTCTAACATAATCTGTTTCCCACTGCTATTACCATTGTTATCAAACATGTAGGTTAATAATTGATGGGGCTATTTTATAAATTTTAAAAATATGGGGTAAATTTGTAAAATTAAAAACTAGTAAATTCTCATTTTCAATTGAAAAACTTGTAAGAACCAGTTTTTCATATTTGAAAATGCATTTTCAAGTGAAATTGGAAAAATTGAGAAGATTTTGATAACCAAACATTGTTTTCAAAAAATATTTTGGAAAAAAGGAAAAAATTTGTATGTCCAAACGGGCTCTTAGGAATACTAATCCCATAATAGAATTTGTAATTATATTTATCCCATATTTAATTATTGACTATTAGTGTTTCATAGATATATTTTATATAAAATGATAGTATTAATTATAGTGAAATAACTAATCCTATGAGATAATCCAACCATGAGATATTCTTTTCCATCCCACAATTGAACCAAACAACCCCTTACTACTTGTTAGGATAGTTTGTTATATATCGTTTCATAATGTATCGTATCGTATTGTACTGTACACTATCGTTTTGAAATATACAATGTTTGGATAGATTGTATGTTTGTCCAGTTTCATGATGTCATGCACCTACAGTATGGAAAATAAACTTGCAATATAATAAAGAAAAAGTAAAGTACGAGGTAGAATTATTACATAAAAAGATACGGTAAAAGATAAAATATGATTATTTAATAATAAGGAAGATCAAGAGGAGAAGGGAAAAAAGGTAATGACGCGACTGTTTGACCAAAAAGTTTCAAGCTTTTTTATCAAACTAATTAAATAAAAAGATATGGGGTAAATCCTAGCCAGAGGTAATTTATTCTAGATCTGAGATAGGAGACAAGAATAAATAAGCATAGCTGAATGTAGAATTTGATTACAGTTGCGATTGGATTCCATAATGTAAGAAAAAGAAGATGGCTTTAATAATATCAAATGATGACGAAGAATACATAAAGGAAATGAATCACCATTCTTGAACAAGATTAACCTTCATACATCTGATAAAGTTGAACTCCAAAATAAAATGTGAGGAACTTGAGAATTATCCCTCTTTTTGGCGAAGAGCCTGGAAGGATGGAACCTCTTCTTTTTTAGAGGGATGTATGTGTATGTATGTGTTCCCCTCAGCCCCCTTTTCTGTTATTCCCTCTCATGATATTTATACAAAATACTTCCCTTAACTAGCGGTCCTTAACCAGAGTACCCAAGTTCTTAAAATATCCTCTAGAGTATTTCTCTAAAATGTCTAAGTGTCGGATTAGTCGTTCGAGCCGAACTGAGTGCTCGACCTCGATCGTAGCTAAATCATTCGCTGATATATCACTTCCTGTACGTGACTTCGGCTTGGTTGACTCCTGGTCGCTCTCCCTGAAGTAGAATTCCTTTGATCAGATTTTGACCTATACAGTTAGTCCCTCTGCATGTCGGGGTCATCTTTGGACGAGCTTGATGGGTGGACTACGCCAGTTTGCGAGTTGAGAAATCTGAACATCTGTGTCGAGGGGCGAGCCCTTCATAGCGAGATGATGATGTGATGCTTCGAGATCCATACTTGACCGTTACGTCCGTTTGAAATGACATCAAATTGTCATGCGTCATTATGGCGCACGTTCCCATGCGTTATGTCATTTCCTGTGCCTCTTCTGTTTTGGAGTTGATGTGGCGGCATTTGGTTTTCCCGCTCAAGGTGCTTGTATTCTTATAAATAGAGAAGAGGACTTCTCGTTTGGGTTACTGTGTTTCCTATAAATTATTCGAGAAACTCCAGGCTTTTGTTTCTTCCTTATTCAGATTCTTATGTCTCCGTCTCTTTTTTTTTGAAGTTTCTTGTCGTTGTTACCCCCTCCACCTTAGCACTTATCATCTACATAACCAAAGAAAACATGGCTAGTGCACCTTCTGACACCGGTACTGTTGCGTCGGAAATAGATATGCTCTCCCATGAAGAAGGGACAACCATTGTAGAGGATGAGAATTTTCCCACTGTGGATGAGATAATTCCACGCTCGGGGAAAGCCAGGATTGATTTCAAGAACTTACCTGACGCAGATCCCGAGCCCATCATTTCTGTAATTGATGTTGCGGCGCTTGCGGCGCTTAAGGCTAAGTGGAGGATTCCTGACCATGTTGAACTCGTTCCTACGGGTAACAACATCGTGCAGATACATCGCCCGGGGTACGACGCGTTTTATACGTACCCGTTTGTCATTGGTTATACACTTCCCCTTTCTTCTCTAGCGGAGGACTTCTGTCGCAATTATGGGGTATGCCCGGGTCAGCTCTTTCCGTATATATACAAGCTCTTCCTCATGCTCACCAAGTATGCGGAACTGGCCAGCCGGGGGATTTCTCTCCGTCATTTGCTTCACCTCTTCGTACCTAGTTTTTACAAGGGTACTATGATACATCTTCCTCACTGCAGGACCAAGGGCTTGGTGGTAAAGATGGATGATAAGACCAATAGTCACTTTTGGGAGAACTTCTTCTTTGTGAGGATGGAGCACGTAAGTGTCAAATCCTAACGGATTTCCTGAGGAGTGGAATTATGCACGTAAATTTTTATTTTATTTTATTTTTTTAAAACGGCTTCTCGTTGTCCCCTTCTAGTGATCTGATTGTTCTTCTTTTTCCCTTTCTCTATTTTGCAGCCAAGAAGGCACCTCC